CCTGGTGCCAGCTCCGAGGCCCCCGAGCCTCGTGCCAGAGAGGCGTGCGCACCTGCCCCTCCTCGCCGCGTGTTGGCCTCTAGGTCGTCGTCGTCGCCTGACCAGCGGTGTGGTGTGCACGCAGACGCAGACACAACTCGGATCGAAGCAGCGATGCCCGTGTTCTTCCAGCCGACGGGCTCAGACCATGGACCGCAGGTGCTCCTGTCCTGCCCCGCCGCTCCACACAGGCTGCAGTGGAGGCTTGCCAGTGAGGCTCCTCTGCTGCCCCGCCTGGCGGAACGCCTTCTTCGCGCTTGGTCAGTCTGTCTCTCAGAGGCAGGCGGCGTCCCTTGCCGCAGGGCGCTACGCGGGGCGCGCGCGGGCGATTGCCTGCAGGTCCCGTGGAGATCGCCGGAACGGGGCCACAGAAGCCGGCAGCGTGGTTCGGCTATGCGTAAGAGTGACCTTTCGCCAGAGTGATCTAAGGTGCGGGCCGAATGGGGCCCCCCGATCGCAGAACGCGATGCGACAACAGCGGCCTGCGAGCTCGGGTTTGGCCCCCCACGCCCCCCCAGAGTCCCCACAGGGGCAACCCCATGGGCCGCGCACCCCAGGTCACTCTTGCCGAGGGTCACTCTTGTGTGTAGTCGAGTAGTAGCGGGGATGAGTAGGATAGCTCTGATACATATATATAATATGTATGTTCAGTGCGTCGTCTAGGGGCCTCTTGGAGCTTCTTGGGTTCTCCGCAGGAGGCTCTGGGGGTCCTCCTGGACGCCTCCCTGGGTTCTCTTGGGGGCGTCTTGGGGCCTCTTGGAGGCGTCTTGGAGGCCTGCTGGCGGTCTAGGGGGCAATCTTGTGTGGGAGGACTCCTGAGGCACCTTCGGCTTCCTTCTGGGCCTCTCTTGGGGCCCTCTTGGGCGCCTCTTGGGTCCCTCTTGGCGGCCCGAAGGCTCTCTTGGGATAACTTGGAAGCTTCTTGGGCCCTCTTGGACGCTCTCGAGACAGACAGCGCGAACATGGACTCGTGCAACAACCTCTTGGGCCTGTTGGGCCCTCAAGAGGTTTACAGTTGAACCTGATTAGTAGGTCGACCCTGCCAACTCAAGAGTACCCTCGTGTCCTGCAGTTCGCGACCCAGAGCCCGAGCCCTGAGGACACGCCCCTGGGCCATCTTGAGGCATGTTGGAAGTTCTGATTCCGAACGGCACTCTCGAGCCTGTGGAAAGGTCATGCGACTTGGAGTCGGCGGGGGGTCTGAGCTTCTTCGCAACTTACATAGTTCGCTTCAATGCCCAGCCCGCACGGCCAGCTCGCCAGGGTCCGCTCGCTCGACCCACCCGTCAGGGTCCGCCCGCCCGACCCGCCTGTTAGGGCCCGCCCTTTCGCCTGCTTGACGCCCACCCGCCTGCTTCAGTCTCCCGCCCGACCCGCTGGCTAGGGCTGGCCGGTGGCCTGGCAATGGTTCCGGCGAGCAGGGATGGGGGGCGAGGTTCGAGGTTCTGGATTCGAGAAGGTTCTCGTCTCTTTCGTTCTCAGGCCGGGGCCGTGGAAGACGGATCTGCTTTGAACAGTTACAGCAGAGGGACCCTTGCAGGGGTCCGGGGATTGATTTTGCGCGGATTAGGCTTCATCCCCCCTCCTGGCCGACTTTCTAGGGCCCCCCAGACTCACGGGTCGCCTCCAATGATCGAGTCTGTGGAAAAGTCATGCGACTAGTCCTGGAAACGTAGACGAATCCTTGAATTCGGAGGTCGGGGGTCCTCAAAAACTCTGCGTAACCCCATGTCGGTGGGAAAGGGTGTATACTACTACGGAACAATGATGAACCCTTCCCGACGGGGAAGAAGGGAGTTGGAAGAGGAAGCGCGCTACATCACTCACGCCGAGAGGGCTGGTGGGACTATTGACAACCTGTAGTATTTAGGACTCGAGGGGACCTGATACGCTTCGCTCAATTGCGTGCGGCACAGTGGTGGATTAGTGTCGCGCCTTCTTCTCCTTCTCCTTCTCCGCCTCCTCCTTCCTAAGTTCGGGCCCAATCACTCTCACTTAACTACTCGTACTCATGCGGGCCTACATTCAGTTCACGCTTTACTCACTCAAACTCAGTTCCACTCATACTCAGACCCACTCATTATATTCTAGACGCTTCGTGCAACGCCACCAGCCAATCCAGAAAGGATGCACAGGCGAGTTGCCCTGATCAGGGATGTGGAGGAACATGCAGTGTAGTACGGGATTGGGAAAATCGTCATATGAGTTATACCCCAAGAGGGGGAGGATGGTGGAGGTTCACCGCCCATAGAGGGGGAAGGGTCAGGGGGGAGGAGAGGAAAATTGGGGTGGGGGCGCCCATCAGACGAGAACTTTTTGTTCCCGCCCGAGGCTGCGACCCACCTCGGGCGGGCCCAGCCGACAGGGCCCCCCACCCCCCAGAAACTTACACTTCAGCCTCTGGGTCCGCGGCACTCGCCGCCCTGGCCTGGGCAGAAGCTCGATCAAGGAGCATCTGCCGACCAAGCTCTTCAGCCTCCTCTCTGGAGCTGAAGCCAAAAGCGAGCAGCACGGAATCCAAGCCGAGGCGTGGGGCCACAGCCTGCTTCGAAAAAGGGACCACCCTCGGCGCTATTGGAGCCACGGCCGCCCCACCAGGGGCCTCCCCGAAATGCCTGGAGAAACGGCCCCTGGTCTCCGCGGACGGGGCCTCCGAGGGCCCGAGCGCCTCAAGAGGGTGCAACACAGGATGAAAACCTTCTTTCAGCCTCTTTCGGACAGTGTACGCTGACCCACCCGAGAGCTTCTTGGGCCCCTTGCAGACACCCACAAGACCTCGCTGCATCGGGGTGGTCGCATACTGCCAACACGACGGGCAATAGATGATCGGGGAGTCATTGGGCCCCGAGCTCTGCACCACGCAGTGTCCATTCACTCTCCAGGGCTGAACGCCCTTGTCTAGAAGCCAGTCGGGGTCCTCTGAGGCGGGCCCTGGAGGTTCCGCCGCAGCAGCACGAGCAGGAGGCACAGGAGGAGGGGGGACCACGGCTATGGACTCCGCCTCAGGGACCTCTGGGACCGACACACCGTGGTAGTGCCACAGCCCCAGGTCGATTTTCTTGAGGTACTCGACCCCGACATTGTCCCGAATTTCTGACGAGGCCATCGAGGCCGCAAGCTGGGCTGAAAACTTGGCCGCGAGCTTGGCTATCAACTGGCATCCTTCTACCAGCTCTACGTCACAGACGGCGGCTCTGGCATGGGCCGCCCCTCTCTTGGCGAAGCCATCTGCAGCATTGTTGCCGTCTCTGTCGAAAGGCGAAATCAGGTCCCTCTCAACGCTGGCGGCCGACGTGTGGGCCTTGACGTGCTCAAACGGCCGAGCACGGAAATCTTCGCGCGCATGCACCCGCCTCCACAGGTGGGCTCGCGGGTTGCATTCCGAAGTCGACAACCTAGGCGACTGGCAGCAACTTAGTGTACCCTTGCAGTCTGCCCGCACAGTGAACTGACCCAAAACATTCTGGGCACACATCAGCATAACATAGTCTTCGCCATCTCTGGCCGTGCCAGAGATGCCGATGTCAGGCGGCACTGCTCCAAAAATCGCTCCGACGTAGCACCTGTCGGAGTCGTACAGCACCACGCTCCAGCCTGCAACTCTGAGGGACGGGTGGTGCTGGTCGAGGCCCGACCCATCTGTGAAGACGTACCCTCCTTCCAGAAGGATTGGCAGCTGAAGGGCGCCGTGCACCTGCAGCCCCCAGCTTGGATTGAAAGGTGGTCTCCCCACGCACTGGCCAGGCTCAGGAAACAACCCCCGCGCAAACCTTTCCTTCCAAGCTGGCGCACTCTGCCTCATTCTGTCGACCGCAGAGGATGGAGGAGGAATCGGAGGAGGAGGACGAGGAGGAGGAGAAGGAGGAGGAGGAGGGAAAGAGGAGTCAGGACGGATGAGGGAGAAGAAGTCTTAGGCGAACGATGATGATGCTGCTGATGATGATGGTGATGATGATGGTGCGGATGCTGATGCTGATGCTGATGCTGATGATGATGGTGATGATGAAGATGGTGATGATGCTCACGATGATGGTGATGGTGCTGATGCTAACAGTGATGATGATGCTGATGCTAATGCTGCTGCTGATGATGACGATGACGACTACGGCGACGATGACGATGGTGATGATGATGACGATGACGATGATGCTGCTGCTGCTGATGATGATGATGATGCTGTTGCTGCTTCTGTTGATGATGATGTTGCTGACGATGATGATGCTGATGATGATGATGGTGATTCTGGTGCCGATGATGCTGCTGATGATGATGATGACGACGATGATGAGGATGATGCTGAGTGATGATGATGCTGACGATGCGCATGGTAATGATACGATGATGGTGATGCTGGTGATGATGATGATGGTGATGGTGGTGATGATGATGGTGATGATGATGCTGATGCTGATTATGATGATGATGATGCTGCTTACAATGATGATGCTGCTGATGAGGATGCTGATGTTGATGATGCTGCTGATGATGATTGTGGTGGTGGTGGCGATGATGATGCTGATGCTGATTATAATGATAACGATGATGATGTTGATGCTGATGATGATGCTGATGGTGGTGATGCTGACGATGATGATGATGTTGATGCTGCTGCTGATGATGACGACGACGACGACGACGATGATGATGATGATGATGATGATGATGATGATGATGATGCTCATGATGATGATGAGGATGATGCTGATGCTGATGATGGTGGTGGTGGTGGTTGTGATGATGTTGGTGGTGATGATGATGCTGGTGGCGTTGGCGGTGGTGCTGGTGGTGGTGGTGGTGGTGATGATGATGATGATGAGGAGGAGGAGGAGGAGGAGGAGGAGGAGGAGGAGGAGGAGGAGGAGGAGGAGGAGGAGTAGGTGAAGGAGGAGGAGGAATTTGAGGAGGAGTAGGCCTCGGAAGAGCCTCTTGGGACCTCTCGGGGGTGTCTTGGGAGCCTCTTGGGAACCTCTTTATTGCCTCTGGGGACTTCCCGGGCGCCTCTTAGGGCCCTCTCTGGGCATTCCCAGGAGCGTACGAGGCCATCTTGGGGCCATCTTGGAGGAGCTCGATCAAAGAAAGGTGGGTACCATATTAGCGTTCCGCCCCCCAGGAGGTCAAAATGGGCCCCAACTCTGAGCAACATCAGTGACTGTTGCCTTCTCGCTGACACCCCTGTCCAGGTCCAGTGGAGGGGGTAGGGGGAGGGGTTAAGACACCTCCTGCCCACCAGGCGAAATCCGTCTCGCTCGCTCCCACCCGCCCTCCCAACACACACGAAAGCAGCACCCGGGCATCCCTATCAAGAACCAATGCAAAGTGACTGCGGGCGCATGCACATGCTCCAGATTTGGAAGCAATGTGTGTTTTGTAGAGGAAGTTGGTAGGGATGGATGGCTTGCGCGCAGCCAGCAACATGAGGTCCCCCCCTGCCGTCCAGGTCAAAAACCAGTGCAAAGTGGTCGCGGGACGCCCGAGCATGTTCCAGATTTGGAAGCACTGTGTATTTGACAGGGATGGTTGGTCTGCGCGCAGCAATCAATATGATCCCCCCTGCCGGCCCTGTCAAAAACCAATGTGAAGTTGACGCGGGGCGCCCGCGCATGCTCCAGATTCCGGAGACAACCCGCATTCTGTATTGTTTTTTTGACAGGGGTGCTGTGTAGATGGGGGGGTCGACCTGGGTCCTGGTTGGCTGCCGGTCGCCTGGGGGAGAGGGTGCTTATCAATGGGGAGCAGTGATCAACCCCTCCCCGAAAGGGAAGAAAGGACAAATTGAAGAGGAACCGCTCTAAACCACTCACGCCCAGAGGCCCAGAGGACTGGTGGGATTCTAGACGCTTCACGTAACCACACCAACCCATCCAGAAGCGATGCCAAGGCGAGTTGCCTTGATCAGGGATATGGAGGAACACGCAGAGGAATAACGGGCTGGGGAAGCCGTCATGCCCGAAGAGTGGGAGAATGGAGGAGGAATCGGAGGAGGATGAGGAGGAGGAGGAAGAGGGCGAGCAGAAAGGCCAGAGGCCTCGTGAATGCCTCTCGGAGTCTCTTCGGATGTCTCTTGCGGGCTTCTTCGAGTCCTCTTGGGGCGTCTTGGGGGCCTCTGGGCGGTCCCGGGAGCGTCTTTGGTGCCTGCTTGGGGATCTCTCGGGAGCCTCTTGGGGACCTCTTGGGGGCCTCTTGGGGCCTACTTGGCGCCTCTTGGGCCCCTCTTGGGGCACTCTTGGCAGCCTTGGGGGCCATCTTGGACCATCTTGGCTGAGCTCGCTCAAAGACGGGGGGTATCTACTTAGCCCACCCCCCAGAATGCCAAATTTTGCCCAACACCTTACGGAGATCAGTGATTGTTGCCTTCTCGCTGATGCCTTCTTGGGCTCTGACCGCTCGCGGGACGCCCCCTCGAAACCCAGGGGAAGGAGGTAGGGGGAGGGGTCAAGACATCCACCCGCCCTCCCAATAGATAAGTAGCACCCGAGCCGCAGCACGTTCAGCGGGCGTCTTTGGATGGGCAAGAATTGGAAACCAACACATACCCCATGTGCGCGACGCTGGGACAATGTGCGCCACGCGTGCCAGGCGCGCCACGCGCGCCAGGTGCGCCAGGCACCCCTGGGGCTCAAGTGTGCCAGGCACTGGTGCGTCAGATGCGCCATGTGCTCCACGTGCGCCACATGTGCCGCACGCTCCAGCCGCGCCAGATGCGCCGCTCTCGGGGCACGCGCAGAGTGTCCCAGGTGCGCCCGCGCATTTGACAGCACACATATGGAAACATGTCGGCACCCACCATCCTTGTCGGCAAACCATGCGCAATCGCGGCGGGTGGTCATCATGGTGTCTGGTGGGTCTGCACACAGCAGACAATGTGCCAGCATCCCCGCCGTCCCTGTCAAAAGCCCATGCGAAGTGATCGCGAGGTGCACGCGCACGATATAGATCTTGCAGCGAAGTACAGTTCGTATTGTTTTTTTTGATGGGGGTGGTTTTGCTTGTGCGCAGCAAGCATTAGGAGGGCACCCCCTCCGTCCCTGTCAGCAACACAATGCGAAGTGCTCGCCCCCCCTGAATATGATCAATCTTTTGCCGCAAAGTGTTTTATATTGCTTTTTGACAGGGACCGGGGGGGGCATAGGTGCCTGCATGGGTTCGGGCCGGCTGCCGGTCGCCTGGGGGAGGGGGTGTTCATTCATAGGGGATAGTGATCCACCCCTCCCCGAAGGGGAAGAAGGGGGCTGGAAGAGGAAGCGCGCTAAACCAATGACGCCCTTAAGGGCCTCTGGGGTTTCTATGGGTGTTAACACATAGATATATAGAAGTATTCAGCATGTGCATTTGCAGGGCCGTATATGTGTGGTGCATGGGCCTACTGGGGGGCAGCGTTTATCGCCGTCTTCTGCTCGTGGTTGCACGCCCTGCTGCGCGGCGCCTCGGCCTCCGCAGTCGCGCCAGAGGTTCGGCCGCCCTGCCTCGGTGAGGGCGGCGTGCGGCCCCCCTGCGGCGCGAGGCGCGGGCCTGACGGCACGGCGCGGTGATGGTGTCGCGGCCTGTGTTTCGGTGCGCGCGCGCAGCAAACGGCCGTGCGGATGGCGGAGCAGACCGCCCCTCTCGGTGCTGACGCGGAGCCGCTTGCTGCCGAGGAGCTCTACGACGGGGAAAGGGCTCCCGAGCTCGATGAGGTCGGTTGACGCAGGGCCTCTCGCCAGCATCAAGGCGGGCCAGCTGTATCCCTTGACGGGGTACGGATCGGACGACGAGGCCTGAGGCTCAGTGCAGCTTCGTCTGGCTCGCGGAACGGACCTCTTCGGGTCCTGAGGTGTTCGTGTGCCTTCGGTTCCTCTTCTCGGAAGACCCCGTACTGTGATTGGTGGGCTGCCTACCGTGGAGATAAAGGGGGCCATCAGTGCCACGCCGCTGCTCGAGGGAGCTGCTGGTTCACAGCGTCGCCGAGGTGTGGTCGCTGGCCACGACTGGGGCCGAGATGGACTGATTGCCCAGGTACTCATCCCGTCCTCGATGAGGCGTGCCCACGTAGAGGCGCATGTCCAAGTTCTGCTGTGGCCGTCGTGTTTGGAACTGGCTGAACCTGACGATGGACCGGGCCAAGGCGAGCAGCTCGCCAGCAGCACGCGTGGAGGGACCAATGCCTGCCTCCGCGTCCAGAGGACCAGTGGATTCGTCGTGGGCGTCGCCGGTGGATTCGGCCGTAGCGTTCCAATGGGCATGGCCCAGGCGCCGCTGATTTGGTGGAGCCCCGGCGGGCCGATGCCGCCGGCCCGAGGCGCGTCGGCGGCGAGGCCACGGAACTTGGCCGCTGCCTTGCGCACGTGCCTTGCGCTGCGGCAGTGGGCGCCGCAGTTCAGCAAGGCGACCTCCTCGCGCGTGAGCGGAGCAAGCGACGGAGCTGAGGTGGTCGGCATCTCGTACGGCATGCCTGGATCCAGCCAGGTGGCCATGCCCGTGTCGTCCGGCCTGGATCCAGCCAGGTCTGGATCCGGCCAGGTGGCGATGTATGTGTCCAGCCAGGTCTGGACCCAGCCAGGTCTGGTCCCGCGGGAGGAGGGGAGGAGGCGACGGAAGGGGATGTGGCAGGTTTTGATGGCGAGCTACATGTACAGGACTTCTGAGAGGTTCAGGGGTGTCGTGGGAGGAGGGGAGAAGGTGGAGGACGAGGGGACGAGGGAGGTAGAAGGATGATGAACATGTGGGTATCTCCCTCCATTCTGATTTCCCTCCCGACCTCTCTCTTCTCCGACCTCCACCTCCAGTCTTCTCTGGTTTCCTCCCCCGCGACCTTCGCAGCACCGTCCCGCACATCGCCGGCGGCAAGAAGAACTGGCAGAGTCAGATGAGAGGTCCTGGCGTGATGCTGGTCAAGCTCCTGGAGCGGGGGACCCCGGAACAATTTGTTTTGGGCCGCGGGCGAGCTTCGTCGTCGTCGCTGTCGTCGTCGTCGTCGTCGTCGTCGTCGTCGTCGTCGTCGTCGTCGTCGTTGCCGTCGTCGTCGTCGTCGTCGCCGTCGTCGTCGTCGTTGTCGTCGTTGCCGTCGCCGTGTGGTCGGTGGTCGTGTCCCTACCCCTCCACCGCTTCCGCTTCCTCGCTGGCGCATCTTTTTCGTTATACAGCAGCGTAGAAAGTGCAGTGCACGCGGCAAGGATGACTCCCGCGGATGTGCCGAGGAGAAGTGAGACCACGACGCAGCCGTGCACGACTTCCTCGTCAACCGTTTAGCGCAGGGTCAGGGTCCTCTGGCCTGGGTAGGTGAAGCAGGGTGGTAGTGCCACCTGTGCAAGAGAGGAAGAGCGCTTCGAGAGGAAACCCGCTCCTCATTTTCAGCAAGGCTAGCACACATGTTGCAATACCGCATGGGACGGCGGATCGAAGACGCCTGCGGTGATTTACCGTTGTCGCCTGTTCTGTCCAGACGCCTTTGAACGCCAGAGATACCATTGCCGAGTCAAAGCTTCTCTTCATAGGCCTCTTAGAAGCCCCTTTGGGGCCTCTCAGGGGCCTGTTGAGGGTCTGCTTGGGGCACGCTGGGGGCTTGTTTGGAACTTAGGGCCGTCTTGCCGTCTTGGCAGGTCTTGGCAGGTCTTCAGTCCGTCAGAGGGGTCCCGAGGCTGCCTTGGAGCCGTCACGTTTTTTTTTTTGAGCCGCCCTGTGCCGTCTTGGGGCGACCCGGGGCTGTTCTGTGGCCGTCTCGGGATCCGCCGGGGGTGGGGGCTGTTCGCCCAGGGGCGGTCGCGATGCATTTTTGGAGGACATCTTGTGCAAAGAAGGGAGGTGACTCAAGCCACTGGAACTTATGCTGCTGATACTTTGATGGCCTCTCAGTGGCCTGCTGGGAGCTGGGGACTCCAAGGCCATTCTCGAGGCCGTTATGCGGTGCTCGGGCTGTCGTGGGCAAGACCTTAGACCATCTTGTGCGCCGTCGAGAAGCCTGCTGTAGGCCCTATCGCGTCGTCTTGTCCGGGTCCTGGACCGTCTGGGAAGCCATTATTGGAGGCCATCTTGGGAACGAGCGTGCATCCTGGCGCAACGGGCCAATCATGGCATGTTGGACGTTTTTGGAGAGGAAATCGCTCCTGGTCATCAAGCAAGCACGCCCAGTATTACCTCTTGCCCTCTTGCTTTCTTGCTCTCTTGCTTCCTTGCCATCTTGCTCTCTTTTTTTTTGTTCTCTCTCTCTCTCTCTACCTCTGGCTGCAGTTTTGTTGCTTGGTATCGCTCGGGCGTGTGCACTTTTCCCGGCGAGGCCAGCGCCAGAACATCTGGGCCACGTGGGAGCATCTTGGACCATTGAGCGGAACAAGCAAAACGCACGACACCGAAACACGCACGGGGAATGGACGCCAGAGCGACGGCGAGTTTGTAACATGTTTGTTGTCTTGTTGCATGTCTTGTTGTTTCCTCTCTCTCTCTCTTTCTCTTTTTTTCTTTCTTTCTATCTCTCTCTCTCTCTTTCTCTTTCTCTCTCTCTCTCTCTTTCCCCCACCCCCCTCTCGTTCTCCCTACCCCGTTCCTCCCTTCAAGACGTCAGCCGCAAGTGGCATCTTCCCCGAAACGCTCTTTCTCCATCCATCTCCTCCCTCCTCCCTCCTCCTACTTGAGAGGGGGACCGTCGACCCCGAACCGTCCACTCATCGTGGATAAAGGGTGTGGGTGCCCCACACCTGCCCAGGAACCTGCTGTTCTGCAATCGGGCACCCAATGACGATGTGTCGCCGACGTATCGCCGATTCCCGGTCGATGTTTACCACCCCCTCTTCTTATCACTCCTTTGTTACCCCTCTCGCAGGACCGCCAGAGCAAGCAGCTGTATCCGAGCTGCCAACTGTGCCCCACCGGTGTCGGGTGGGAAGACCACATCTGAAGAGGCGCTAGCAGCTCCGCCGAACAGCCTGAATTCAAGTCACGCTTGCCGGACGATCCCCAGACAGATAATTGGGATGAAACGGAGGAGGACGAGAAGTAGGAGGACCTTCCATTTACCCCAGCCTTGTTTAGAAGCCCCCATGCACGTTTTAAGGCTAAAATGGTTTCCCCTCCTTTCCCCTTGCTTCCCCTCCCTGCTACTGCTCCTTGTCTCTCCCCCCTCTCCCTCCTTTCCCTCCTTCCTTCCCCTTGCCCTCACAGCTCCCTCCTGGAAATGTGGGTGGGGCTCGCAGTGGCTGACGAGCTCGTCTCTCCCAGGCCGGCCGCCCGCCGTCGAAAGGGTCGGCCCGACATCCAATGTTGGCTCGGATTCTGCTCCCTGGGGCTTTCGCGTGGGAGTTCTCCACATCGCATCGCATCGCAGCACGAGGTCCAGTCGAGCAGCCGAGGCGAACCTAAGCGCAGCTCAAAACCGACTTGTGTGTGTGTGTGTTTTGTTTCTTTTCCTTGTTATATATATATAGAGAAATATAGAAAGATCACGAGAGGCCTGTAATGCCTCTCCTCGCCCCCTCCTCCTCCTCCTCCTCCTCCTCCTCCTCCTCCTCGTCCTCGTCCTGCAGAGCTGCGGGCGCCCTGAAGGCCCTCGGCCTGGCCCCAGAGCAGCCAGCTCGGAGGCAGCTCTGCCCGAGCCCGCGGGCGCCGGGCTTGCCAGTGGAAGAAGGGCCTCCTCGGCGCCGCCGCACAGAGAGGCCCCGCTCGCCAGAGGAGGAAAAGGTACCCATGCGGCCACCCTTGCCTTGTTCTCACCCTTTTGGGCCTCCTGGGAGGCCCTCGCCGCCACGGGCTGGGTTTGACTTCTGCGAACTCCTGGGCAGAGCGCACCCCAGGGAGAGGTCCAGGGCGCCGAGGCATCGGCGTCCTCTGCTCTCTCCAGCTCGGAGGCAGCTCCAGAGAGGTCAGCCTCGGAGGCACAGCGCCCCCGAGGGGCCAGCTCGGAGGCTGCTCTCTCGAGGCTGCGCCCTCCCCGCCCCCCCTCCTGCAGCTTGTGGGGCAGCCGCGAGCCCCGCCACCAGGGCTTCCTCTGGGGCGGCGCGGCGCGAGGCGGCTCTGACTGCGTGGCCCCGCGAGCAGAAGCTCTGGCAGTCCGCTGCTCCCGTGCGGCTGCGGGCACCTCGCCTTGCGAGGAGCAGCTGGCCCACTGCCTCTGCGGCAGCCCGCCCCCCGTGGGCGCTGCCCCGCTTGGGGGAGCCCAGTGGGAGGGCTTGGCCGGCGCGGGCTCGTTTCCCCAGCGCGGGGCCGGGAGGTGAGGTCATGGTGAAGGGCGCGCTCCTCGAAGATCTGGCCGTTCGCGCGCGCCCGAAGCCCGCCGCGCGGAACTCCTCGCTGCCACCCTCCCTGGACAGATGTCCCGGCAAGCGCGCGGCTGCCAAGGGCGGCTGCACAGGGGCGACGAGCGCGAAGGCAAGGGAGAACGACAATGATAACGGCCTCTCCAGGGACGAACCGGCTGGGAGCGAGGCGGTGGTCGACGACCCGCTAAGCCGCGGCCCCAGCCTTGGCAAGGCGAGGGCAACGGTCATGCGTTTGAGGAGCCGAAGGCCCAGGAGGCCCAGCAGGGCCGAACTACAGGATACAAAGCCGAAAACATATAGAGAAAGCAACGAGAAGACGACGAGCAACCCTCACGAAGTGGTACCCCACCTGGGTGCAGGAGCAGTGCGACCGTGCGTGGGGGGCACTGCTCTTAGCTTCGACCAGGGGGTGGCTGCATTTTCTTGGTCAGATCGCCAGAGGTGATGACGATTTGAATGGGGCGGGCGACAGCGAACGCCTTGCCCACGGACCGGGCGCCAACGCAAACAGCATCCAAAATCTCCTCCTCCTCCGCCTCCTTCTCCTTCTTCTCACGCTCCCTTCTTGTTTCTCCTCCTCCCTGCCTCTTTCCTCCCTTCTCATGCTACTCATTCCTTTTAATCCTTCCTCCTGCTTCTTCCCCTTTCTTTGCTTCCTCATCCTGCTCCTCCCGCGCCTTTGCTTCACCCTCCCTCTTACCTGTCCCTCCCCCTCTCGTGCTATCCCGCTGTGCGGGCGGAGGAGGAGGAGGAGGAAGAGGAGGAGGAGGAGGAAGAGGAGGAGGAGGAGGAGGAGTACCAGTGGAGACCCAAGAGTCATCAACGATGTTGGAGTTTAACCCTCCCTCCAAGCTCCCTCTTCATAGGCCCCTGCAACGGTTCATTTCCATTGGGGGAATTGCCTTGTTGGAAGACAACAGTTTGAAGATCCTGTAGCGTGCCAAAGAATGTTCTCGGGATTTCACCGCCACGTATCAACCTGACTGCTGCGTCTTGACGATCCAGGGTCGTGCCAGGAGGCCAATCTGTGGGCTGCAACATAGCGAATTAACATAACTGTTGCGCCCGCATAGTCATGAGTTTCAAAACATTATTTCCGGTGCGTTGATCATGGGAACCCGTGAAACTCTTGCAAGTTTAAATGCGAATGTGCGCGGCGCTACGGCGAGAGCCGCATTTTGAAAAGGAGCCGCCCTCAATCCGTGAAGCTCTTGCATATTTTTTCAATGAGTGCGCACGGCGCTAAGGCGAGAGCCACATTTTGAAAACGATCCGCCCTCAATTCGTGAAGCTCTTGCAAATTTTCAAGACGAATGTGCGCGGCGCTACGGCGAGAGCCACATTTTGAAAACGATCCGCCCTCAATCAGTTAAGCTGTAGCAGATTTTCAGAACGAACGTGCGCGGCGCTAACGCGAGAGCCACATTTTGAAAACCAGCCGCGCTTAATCCGTGAAGCTCTTGCATTTTTTAAGACGAGTGTGCGCGGCGCTAATGCGAGAGCCACATGTTGAAAACCATTTGCCTACCCGTGAAACTCTTGCGAATCTTTAAGACGAATGTGCGCGGCGCTGAGGCGAGAGCCACATTTTGAAAGCGACCCGCCCTCCATCTGTAAGCTTCCGAGTCACAAATAGTAAGGAAGTCTCAGGTGAAATTTCCGGCCCGCCCTAACAACTGGCCTCGGGGCGCGATAGGAAGGAGTTATCTATAAGGAGAAGGAATGGAGGAGGAAGAGCAGTGGAGACCCAAGAGTCATCAACGATGTTGGAATTAACCCTCCCTCTCAGCTCCCTCTTCATAGGCCCCTGCAACGGTCCATTTTCATTGAGGGAACTGCCGCGTTGGAAGACAACAGTTTGATGATCCTGAAGCGTGCCGAAACATTGTATTCGGGATGTCAACGCCACGTGTCAACCTGACTGCTGCGTCTTGACGATCCAGGGTCTTGCCAGAAGGCCAATTTTGGGGCTGCAGCACAGCGAGTCAACATAACTGTTGCGCCCGCGTAGTCATGAATACTTCCAAAACATTATTTCCGGTGCGTCGATCATGGGAGTCCGTGAAACGTCTGCAAATTTTGCAACCGAATGTGTGCGGCGCTCATGCGAGAGCCGCATTTTGAAAACCACCCGCGTTCAATCCGCGAAGCTCTTGCAATTTTTCAAGACGAATGTTCGCGGCGCTAAGGCGAGAACCACATTTTGAAAACGACCCGCATTTAATCCGTGAAAGTCTCGCAAATGTTCAAGACGAATGTGCGCGGTGCTACGGCGAGAGCCACATTTCGAAAACGATCCGCCCTCAATCACTTAAGCTTGTGCGATTTTCTAAAACGAATGTTCGCGGCCACATTTTGAAAACCACCCGCCCTCAATCCGTGAAGCTCTTGCAACATTTTGCCACGAATGTGCGCGGCGCTAATGCGAGAGCAAAATTTTGAAAGCCACCCGCCTTCAATCCGTGAAAGTCTTGCAAATCTTTAAAACGAGTGTGCGCGGCGCTACGGCGAGAGCCACATTTTGAAAGCGACCCGCCATCCATCTGTGGAGATGTTGCCATTTTTTAGCTTCAGAGCCACAAATCGTGAGGAAGTCCCAGGCGAAACGTCCGGCCCACCCTAAAAACTGGCTTCGGGGTGCGACAGGGATGAGTTATCTAAGAGTTATCTATTTGGAGAAGGAATGGAGGAGGAGGAGAAGGAGGAGGAGGAGGGGGAGGAGGAGGAGGAGGAGGAG